AAATTATCTAATGGTCCAAATATTAGGTTATTATGAGGTGCTTGACTATCAAATATTTGTAATTTTAGATCATGAGATATTTGAATGACTGTAGTCTAAATACTATATCATTTAAGTGTTTGTTTGTCGAATAATCTTAATAGTATATCATGAGGTATTTGATTGCCTAGTAGTACGAATACTAGATCATGAGATGTTTGACAATCAAATAATGTTACTAAAAAATTCTCACTTTTTGCAGTGTAACGATGTAGTAACATAATAGATATGAGAGGATAAACGAAACAAAGAATGAACTCAAGGATTTATATTAATTCATTTCAACCACCAAGACTACGTTCAATTATTGATCCAATCAAATCAAGTTTCACTATCTTACCAAAGATACAAGTATTCATTACCAAGTCACTTCTTACTCAACCTTAAGTGTTATTTGAATTGTCTCTTCAAGCAATCTATTTAAGTATTCTTTTTTTACATAAAGCCTCTCTAGGCTTGAACTTTGAGTATTCTTTTACGATTAAACCTCTCCAAACTCAAACCCAATAACTTAAAGTTATTAAGGTTTACAAAGTTGTTTCGTTTTCCTTTCAATAATGATATAATAAGTTAAGTACAAAGATGATTACAAAGAGTGAATAAATATTACTTTATTCTAGATTGTCGTCACTATTTTTATAATCTTTAAGCTTCCTTTTAAAGGATTTAAATGAAGATAATCATTGCAAATTCTTGAGCTTCTCTTTCATGACTTACTTCATTTGTCTTCACGTTTTACTTCTTGAGAGGAGAAGTATCTGTTGGTATAATAAATATTTGCATTAAATATTTTCACCAAATTGACACTTATATTAATCACCTTTTGGCACCAAGTACGTAAAATCATACGTGTGTCGGTATGTCACAGTGATGAAATAACTTTTGACTACTACTTTCTGTATCTATAGAGATTTGCTTGTTCTTTTATGAAGCAAAACATGTATTTTTTTTTTGTAGAACATTGATATCGAGGAAATATTTTAAAATATGGTATGTATGTAGTTAATTTCTTATTTAGAGATCGTAAATGATAAAAAAAATTAATGTATATATATCTTTTTATGACTAAGAGTTCGTTTTATTTATTAGCATAATCGTCTTTATGTATCTAGCATCGTATACCATGATTAATTTTTCTAATGAATTGTGTCTTAGTGAAAAATTCGTCTTAATCAGTTTGAAAATTTTAATACTATTCATAAAAAATCTATATTTGTTAACAACAAAACTTAAGACAAAAAAATTTATAATTATCTTTTACTAATACTGACCCCAAAATTTAAAATTTATAGAACAGTCTCTTATTTGAATGAATACTATATTTTCAAAGTGATGTCTGTTCAAATGGTTGAATGCCCACATAGTATTGTGAGGTGTTAATAGTCAAATTTTTACATAAATTTCAAATCTTTACATTCACCCTAAAAAGGTAAATAAATAAATAAAGTTATTAGTATCATCTCCAATGAGAGAGGAAACGATCATAAACAAGTAAAAAAAAGAGAATGTAATAATAACTTGAAAGTTATCGCATGCAAAAATTAACTAATAAATAATATTTTTTTTAATTTTTAATTTTAATAAGGATGTATATCTCTAAACAAGGATTTGGACCTTATTATTTAAACTAAGAACAAAAGTAAAGTGTTTAATAACTTCTACTAACAACTTTTAGTAGAATTATTATTGTTGCGTTAATTGTTTTTCTTTACAATAAAAAAATTATGAGTTTAATTTATATAAACTATTTTTACATAAACATATATTAAAAATTTACTTCATCGTCGCATTATATAATAAATGAAATAATACGAAAATGTCAAACCATATTGGATATCTATATAAAGATATTTTACATTTATAAAATTAAAATGTAAAATCATAGTGTCAACTTTGTATTTTATGATTAAAAAATTAAAACGGAAACTTCATAGACAATTGCCGAGTATATATTATATATTTATATTGCCTAAAAAGTTTATTCGTCAGACAAACTGAGCTTCCTTTTTTGGTAGTACTCTCTCTATCATCCATTTCAAATCTGTACGTTCATTTAAATAAATAAAAGTTAGGTTAAAATCCTTATTCGATTCTTTATAATATTTTTTTTTTCAATTTAGTGTTATTTTAATTTTTTTTAATTTAGTTCTCAATAATTTAAATTATTGCAATTTGAGACTTCCGTCTAAATGATTTAAACAAAGTTAATTGTTGACTACGTGGATGCCACGTAAATGCATATGTGGACGCCAAATTTCATGAATATATCTGGAACTAGAATGGACTGTTCTGAAACCAGAACGGCCCGTTCTGCTTGCACATGTTATGTGTTAATTTTGCAACTGGAATGAGTCGTTCCAAATGCAAATTTAACACACCATGAGTGCATCAGAACGGGCCGTTCTAAAACCAGAACGGGCCGTTCTGGATTCAGAATGACCCATTCCAGAACGCCAACTTCATCCATGCGTTGACCAAAATGTCGCAATGTGATTCAAAAGTTGAAAATAAAAATTTATAACATATCATAAATTCAAAGACAGAAACATAGTTTAGAAACAAAAAAGTTCAAAGAAATTATTGAGAAAGGAAATCATCTGGGTAACGCTGAAGAGAAACCCTAAACCACAAAAATTTAGGTTGTACCTCCTCAAGAACAGGTTGTTATTGTTGGGGTACATCGTTAATGACTTCAAGGAAAAACATCGTTTCGTTTCATCCTTGACTGTATAGTGTCAATTTAGTAGTAAGTGGTTCACTCCAGTTTGACTAACAATGAAATAAAATATGTTACCATTGTCCTTAGTGATACACTGCATCGTCCTTAATAATATACTGTATAGCCCAAATGTTTATCAATTGAAGTTATCAATCTCCATTGACAATATTACCAAATCTAGTGTTTGAAATGTTTTGTACCTTGGGTCTTTTTCCTTGCACGATTCACAACCGTGAACTGTAATCATTGACCATTCTAGAACCAGAACGGCCCGTTCTGGTTACACTATTGGTGTGTAAATTTTGCATCTGGAACGGCCCGTTCTAGGTCCAAAATTTACACACCAGAACGGGCCGTTCTGGTTCCAGGTGTAATCAAGAAATTTGTCATTCATCTATGTAACATTGATGTGACATCCACCTAGCATCTACGTGGTCAACAGTTAACTTCGTTTAAATTATTTAGACGAAAATACCAAATTGTAATAATTTAAATTATTGAGAATTAAATTGAAACCAAAAATTAAAATAAGACTAAATTAAAAAATATATATTATAAAGGACGAAATAAAAATTTTAACCTAAAAGTTATTAGTGACATCTTTGATAAGAGAGATTAATAAAAAAAAAACTACGTATAAGTTACCAAAAAAGGTAAATAAAATATGAATATATTTTTTGTCTTGTTCCATCACGATCTACTATCGTGCAGTGAATTCATTTTTTGTCCGTAGTAATGTTTCTTCGCAGTCCCCTCCCCTTAATAAGAAGAGCCAGAAATGCGAGACGTACATCATCTTAATTATTTGGGCTGCTTTTCGATTATGCAGGAGTTTACAAGAAATAAGATACCAAAATATCGATAAGAGTATCAAAAATTCGTTATGCTATATAATTTAATTATTTTGTTTACAAGTACAAAAATGTTAGATTATTTGATTCTGTACAAATTTCTTAAATTTTCCATCGTTAGTATAATCTCAGTGGTCCTGATAAAAAAAATCTTGGCGGATTAACTTAATTTTTAATATCAGTGAAGTAGATATAAACTAAGCTCATACATCTATTTTAATTTTTAATTATTCGATCATTAAGGCTGACTATAATAATTCATGGATTAACTTAGTTAATATTTTACTGAATAGCACAAATTAATTGTTTAATTAAGAAAAGTACTATTAAAAATTTGATTCATTACAGCTGGAAACGAGAATCACGTGGCGTTGAAACTTGAAAGGGTGTCATTCAACTTGATTGATTAGGCGTATCATTAAGATAAAAAAAAAAAATAAAATTGAATACGATATTCACGACGTGAGACAAGCTAGATAATTTTAAAATTTAAATTAAAGGAATACTGTAAGGGAAGAAAATAAAAAAGAATGCATTTATTTTTAATAAAATATAAAACCATTTTATTTTTTCCTCTTTTTTACTATTACTTAAGCATATAGTTACGTTGACATTGAAGTTGTAATAATTAATTAAAATACGAGCTTAATTTATATTTTTAATTAATATATTTTTTTTACTTAAATATATTTTTAGTACTTAAAAAGTAAAATTTTGATTTTATTTTTTACAAAATTATATCTTTATTTTTCATCTCTAGCTCTTAAAATTATTGTTTTTATTCGTATAAAACATTTTTATTTGACTTTTATCCTTCCAAAATTTAAGATCACTAAATTTAATGTCAAAAATTATTTTAAGAAAAATACATAATTTTTATTTTAGATATCTTGAAGAATCTATAAAGTGTAATATATTGGTATATTATTATAAACACTAGTAGATATCAGTTTATATTAAAGTTTAAAACATTTTATAAATTATTATACATGTATTGTATTGTATTTTTATTTTTATTGAACCTAAGTTTCGAATTTTAAGAAGAGATCGCTACTAAGTCCTAAATAAATATATATCCATTTATTGAAGGAAGGATATTGCAAAAAAAAAAAATTGCTTAAGAAAAACATGTGAATCACATTAAAGAAGAAAATACATAAAAAAAAACGTGAATCACATTAAGTAAGTAAACATATTAAGGAAGGATATTACCATCAACGTTACGTTATACTATGCGTATGTACAAACATGATTTTAATACAGAAGAAAAAAGTATAATAATAAAAAAATACATAAACTCATTTTCTATAAATGGCACCATAATCAATGTTAAGTTATGCTAAGAGTGTGTAAAAACATAATTTTAAAATAATTTTTTAAGCTTATTTATTAAAAATATTCTTAATTTTTGGCGCGCGTTGTCATTTCTGCTCTGGTTCCAAGGGAAATGGATAAAATAATAAATAAATTTTCATCTATAAATGTAGAAAATCATGCACATGCCGAAGGCTAAGAGAGAACACTCAAGACATGAATCACCACGTTCCGTAAGTCAAATTCCCCTGCGATCCGCTCCGGCGAATTCTGCCTTCGCCGGTACATCTCTCATTTTTCCTCTCTTCACCTCAATCCATTTCCACCACTTTTCCCCCTCAATTCAAGCTCTATTTCTCGAATCAAAATTCACAGTTTGCGCTTGCAGATTTATTTTAGATCACGTGACGTATTTTCCCTCTCTACTTAGTCATTGTTTGCTCGAACTCGAATACCTGATTAGTTTTGCAACTTCTTCATAAAAAAAGTAATCATTAACAATTATTCTGAATCTACTACTGTTATAGGATGACTCTACTTGAGCCGGTTGAGCCTGTTCATGTTGCAGCTGAATGATTTTATTTTATTTTTTTTCTAAATTGAAAAGGGATCTCGTGCTGTTTAAGCAATAGAGTGATTGATGAATTTTATTTCTTAGTTTGTCTTCTAATAAACGACTTGTTTTATCAGGGCGTGTGAATGTTTTCTTGCGTGGAGTCTCGTAATTGAACTGTGGTTGGGACTTGGGACTGAGTGAGACCGCGCTGGCACTTAGCCAAAAAAGGCTAAAAGAATGGTTCCCTTTTCCAGCATACTGGGGCACGAAAAGTGTGGAAGTTACTTAATTTTTAGTGGAGAAACTTACCTTGGCAATAATTTTCGTGCATTTTTGTATTTTCTTGGCCTTGCTTATTGTTTTATCGGATTATCGGCTATAACAGCCCGCTTCTTTAAATCGATGGAAAACGTGGTCAAGCACACAAGGAAGGTAGTGGAGGTAGATCCTGTTACTAAAACTGAAACTGTTAGATTTGAAAAGGTTTGGAATTACACTATTGCGGATATTAGCTTGTTGGCCTTTGGAACTAGCTTTCCTCAGATTTCATTAGCCACCATTGATGCTATACAAAACATAGGGAAGCTGTATGCTGGAGGTTTGTTTTTCAAAGCTTTTGTCCTGTTCCTTTCTTATGATGGAATATTAGAATCAAGTTTGATTTGTTTCTCCATTAACATCTTGGTGGATTTGAAATTTAGGAAGTATATGTTAAAGTAATAATTTTTGCTACAATTTTTTTATGTTCAAAATCCTTTATCTTTCTACTTTGACAGTCACTGCCCTTTTAAAGATAAAATTGCTTTGATTTTGTAGGCTACATATTGAATACTGATTCAGTATATTTTGAAGTATTCTCTTATTTTCCTTGTAATCCCCTCAAATTTCTAACAAGTAATAATCTTAAAGTGTTTAAAATTGTTGAATCTTTCTGCCTCACATATCGAAGGAAAACATACATGCTTGTATGCATAAATTCATCCATAAACTTTATGTTTCACGATCTTTTTAGCTTATGTTAGACAGCACGGCATTCTATGTATCAAGTGGAATAGAAAGTAAGATATCAGAAGTACAAAGGTTATAAAAGGAATATTTAAATAAAATGACATTTATTTCAAAAAATGCATATGCAATAAAAAGAGAAATGAAACGTGCTTTCAACACTAACTTTTGTTCGTGAAAAAATTGTCCCAACTTTACTAGTCCCCAGAAACACAAGTTGACGTTTTTTCTTCACTTGTATTATTATAACTTTATATGGATAAATAAAGTCAAATGTTTCACTAATTTGTTCCTCCTGCTTTTCTATCTTTGATGTGAGTGGAAACATGTTTTACTACAACATAGTTGATGCTGGCTAATAGATTATTCAAATATGGATTTTTATGCTGGGAAGTGCAAATAGTTATTCTGATGAGTGACTTAAGTGCGTGCAGTGACTTTCTTACTTTTTAATAATATTTGATGCTGTGCAATATTTGTTTTATTAAGATCTTCAATTCTTTCTGGAATTGTTGAGGGGCTTTAGACTGTTAAGCAATATAATAACCCTAAATAACTGCTGAATATTCAGGCTTGGGACCCGGAACACTTGTTGGTTCTGCAGCATTTGACCTTTTCCCCATCCACGCTGTTTGTGTAGTAGTTCCAAAAGCAGGAGAGCTGAAGAAGATTGCTGATTTAGGAGTATGGCTGGTGGAGCTGTTTTGGTCATTTTGGGCTTACATTTGGTTATACATAATTTTGGAGGTAATATTCCAACATTCTTCTGTTTAAAACTTCTTAAATTTGTATTGTTGGCTTCCTTCTTATTTTCGTTAACTCATTTCTAGTTGAGTAAGTACTCTAATCTGGGCGTATATTTCTCCCTAGAAGACTGTTTACCATAGAAAGTGTAGTTAATCTATGCAAAATTTAGGGAAAGATGGCAATAAAACTTC